ATGAATGTATTTGATTAAAGAACTTAGAAATATGTATGTGACAAATGCAAATGATAGAAAAAGAAAAATAGATATTCTCTCTTTTTATTGTGGATAATCTACATAACTGGTTCTTCTTATTTTAATGTAGAGACAACGTTAAAATTATCGAAAGACTGTTTGGTTTTTTTCCCATAAGAAATATTATACAAAGTGTTTCTATTTTAGCTTTGACAAAGATTTAGTAATATATTTACTAATAGTTTAAAAACAGTTCAGATCGATTTTCCAGTCTACAAGAAAAAATGAAGCATCTATTTTGTTACTTAATTTAAAATGAGGTGAGTAAGAAAGAAATATTCACACCCACTCATTGACACCGACACCTACACCCTCAAGAACGGAAAAGGATCTGTAGAAACATTAAATGAAAGAAAAAACGATGAGTTAAAAAAATACCGCATATTTAAACGCCAGAAAAAAAAGCGAAAAACAAAAGGTTTAAACGCATCAAAGTTATATTTTCTAAAACTACGGATAAATTTGGGGTTAACGTATTGCAAATTGGGTTTTCTAATATACTGAAAATTTCTGTAGAAAATAAAAATTCTAAAAAAAATACTCTCTATCGTCTGCAAAGATCAGCCAAATAAAGCGCGTAAAAACACGTTTTTGTTTTGATTTGATATTTACATGCAGGATGTACAAAATAGTTACATTCTTTTTTTTTATTTAAAAACAAAATTACTTTAGATGTTCATGTAGGAATGTTTTTTTATACTCAATATAAAAAAATACAGATCTAGTGATCGCTTACTAGTTCAAACCAATGCGAATATTAATAAAATTGGAAGTTGAAAAGAGTGTATGTAAAGAAATATTTTCAGTTCTGATGTCTGATCTATTCATTTCCATAGAGCCTTATTTCATTTTTTTGTATTTTTTCTACATTATCAGTACTTTGCTAAGCTAAAACGTTTCCGTCTATCTATAAAAATCCTGGCTACGCCACTAGTAAGCATTGAAACTAGCACCCACATCTACACTTTTCGACGAAATTGATTTTTTGTATGAAACTGGTTTCGCTATAGACAGCATCGCGAAATAGGGTGTATTTTCTTAGCTGAATGCATGAAGAAAGAAAAATACTAGTATTGTATTTATTTTATATTTGCATATTTATTCATTAAGTAAATACATTTGGTGTTATTCTATTAACAATAAGTCGAAAGAAAAGATCTCTATCATGTAAGGCAGCTGCTTCAACCGGAGATCGACATAATGGACATGTATTTCTTTCTCGTAAGACCTTTAACATACAATTGAAATGAAAGACATGACGACCTGGACAAGGCCATTCAGCATAAAATTCATTCAACTGAAAATTTTCAAGGCAAATAGTACAAGTTGTATCAAGCAGAGCATCATCGACTAATAATCGATTATTTAAACGAAATTGTGCAATAAAACGAGGCGATGCTGATGTAACTTGATATAATATTCGATTTATATCGTTACGATAGTGACGTGATTGATACTCAGCTTCTTCATTACTTAAAGTTTCAAGTAAATGTCTGTACTGTTCCTCCTGTATGCGTTGAGCTTCTTCTTGTTCCCAACTAAAAACAAATAAGCAAACACAAAATCTATTTTTCATTATAAAATTAATAAACATTTCGACATACTCATATCGATATCGATCACTTAGATCCATCAATCGTTCATGCAACCAGTTTGTTAAATTGAAATGATTTTTAAATTGTTGTTTTGTAAAATCAATATAAGATTGATGACAATCTATTAATATGACACAATCAGATTTAATATAACGAATATTATCGATAGATATAATAATCAACGGAGGATTTTCATAAAATTGTTGAAGAATTACTTGATTCGTTTCCTGTAAATCTGCTTCTAATATAACTAGATAATTGTTCTGTAAAATAAACAATCGATTATGATAATTATTTATATTAGGTGTATTTGATAATAATTCGTCCAATCCTTCCAAAGAATTTATATTTGATTGTATTAATTGTTTTCGAATAAGATCATCTACTAATGGAAATGATGTATGAATTAATTGGTTGACATTACAACTAATATGTTGAATAGTTTTATAAAGAAAATAAATAAATAAACTAACGAAAATATACGATATATAAGGGATGTAAGAACTTGAAGTATCAAATATTCTAACATTGTCATTAAATTGACGATAATTAAATGAATTACTTAGACAAACATATTCATTTCTAGGTTGATAAAGATATCCAATCAAAATACCACATTTTGAGATCACATTCTTGTTGAAAAATATTGCTTTTTCATTATACATTTCTTTTATTTTTTCAACATATAAAGATTTTTCAAACCATTTCATATATACTGTTGGAGAAATAGTTAATTCTCTAACAATACATCGTAATGTTTTAATACTAAATGATTGAAAATCATATGAATAAACTTTTCCTAAATCAGATTGTTCATATGCATTAAACTTAATATATAATTGCATTGATGATGTATCAATAGATGGTTCTATAACATGATGGAATTTGTATAATAATTGTCCATGTGAATGATGACCATAGAATACTCGTAATGAATTTTTGTTATTTTCATCAATTTTATTTTCACCTAAATCAAGTTGAATATAATCAAGTTGAAATCGAAACCAATGAAATGAGAATAAGGATTTATAACCAAATAAATTATAATTTGTTTCTAAGTGATCATGAAATTGTTTTAAATTCATTGGAAATGGACCTTTCAATGAATTATATATTCGATTATGACATTGAAATATTAATAAAAGCAGAAAATAAATAAATAAATTAATAATATGCTTTTTAATATTTTTTAAATGTTTATTTCGAGCATCTTCAAGACGTTGATGATGAATTCGTAACAATAAAGATGAGCAAGGTGGCAAATTTCTCATCTTTGTATTCAAAGTTAGTAGAACTTGATAAACTATCGATGAAATATAAGGGAAAAAAGAAAAACTACTTCCGACGATATTGCAACATTTATAACTACACTCAAACTTAATTGTTTAAAGTAATGACTAATAAAAACAAAGAGCAAGAGCAGGATCAAAGATTTTTTTTCTTCCCAGTAGTATTCAGTATGATTCATTGCTATAGCAACAAACTTCCATATAGATGGTTGTGGAAAACTCATAAAAAAATGAGTCATTCTCTTGATATGAAAACAAAGTACTTTGACTCATTGACGATTTCTTATACGGCCAGAAATGTTTGCCAGCAAAAACTAGAGAGCATTTTTAGGGTGTAGGTGTGTGTGAGGGTGTGGATGTCGGGTATGGTGCTGGCGCAGGCATCACAGATGCAACACACCTACACCCGATCCTGACACACACACACACTCGCCTGTGTTAGAATAGTGTCATAATTAATAATGAATTATTGTGAATTTGAAATACTTAACAATAGATCAATAATGACATGAGTTTGAAAGAATCATAGAGTGTACTAATTAGTTTATCGTGAAATAATATTCCAGTTGTACATTACATGCATTTGATGTTGATATATTGAATAGATTATATTGCTAAAATTTTATGTCAATTCTAAAGAGGTTGTCATGAAAAATTCATATTACTCATGTACTTTCGAAATATTTAAGAGAAATTACGTAATTCAGTTTGATAAGAAACAAAAAAAGTAGTGTCATTTTTTCCTTTGTAATTATGCAAGACTTGAAATTACCCAATTCTTTGATTATGCTTTATCGCGATATGTATATAAAGCAGTGTTTTATGTGTAGAAGTTCAGTTTTTGACGATGACTTCACTTGATTTCAATTACGCTGAACCGATCGCCTCGTCCGACAGTGCGTCTGATTCCGATATGGATTCAACTCCAGAACGCGTCGGTGTAATTCATAAGTCAGATTATGTCGTGCTCAACGGACGTCCCGTCAAAATAGTTGAAGTGTCACATTCAAAGCCAGGAAAACATGGTCATGCAAAGGTTCATTTAGTTGGTATTGACATCTTTACAAGTCGTCGATATGAAGATGTTCGTCCAGTTGGACATATGATTCAAGTACCAAATATTCAAAAAAAAGAATATACCATTATTGAACTCAATGGATGTGATTCTATAACATTACGTGATGATATTACAGGTAAAACACGTAATGATTTAAAATTAAAAGAAGACTGGGACATCACCGCTCGAATCCTCGACAAATACAACCAAGGCAAAGGTCGGATAAAAGTTACTGTTTTCAAGGCTCTCGGCGAAGATCAAATCAAAACATTTAAAGTAATAGAATAGTGTCAATGAATACATACTCGTGTCCACAGAACACTAATCTCATTAGTACAAGAAAAAAACTTTTTTTTATAATTTTTATTTGAAAATAAAGATCCATCTATTTGCGTTTAATTTAAAATCTTGTTAATCTTGAATAACTAATTGTTCATCATCAATCCTTAGTCCATGTTTTATTCAAAAACTAAAAAATTCCCAAAAAGAATTAAAAAATTAAAAAAAACCTAAAAACGTTAAAAGAATTCAAAAGTTAAAAAAAAGTAAAAAATGTACCAGAAAGAAGGGTGGATGTGGGTATAAGTTTAGGTATGGATGTTCACTTATTATCATTCATACTCACGCCCATACCCGCACTCCTTCCGTATCAAACGTCGATTTTCGATAAAACAGAATTTTAAAGAAATTTTGCATTGTAATTAAAACATTCTCAAAGAAAAAAAATTCATTTATTGATAATATTAGACATAGTCGCTTAAATTTACTTGAATTCGGTTGTGAAAATGGCTTCAAACTTGAGATGCAAGTAATTGATTTGCTTTTCATCTAAACTAATGATTGATACATTGTTTTAGATTTAAAAAAAGATGTTACGAAGAATAGTAAAAGATATGATTAGAAACAGTGAATGTGAAAGATGACATACTCTTTTGATATAACATTCTTTAGAGAACAGAAAGAAAAACGTTACAAGACGTTATTGCACAAGAGTTTCTCATATGAATGGCTGCAAACAAATGTATTATTCAAAAAAATTTGTTAACGACGATTAAGATAACTTGAAAATTTCAATTTCACTAGTTTGAAAGAATTGCGAGCCAGTGAAGGTATTTATACCTAGATCAAGTGAATTACTGTAGCTAACACCCAAATTACAGTAACTGCAGAGATATTTATTACTTTGGCTACTGATATACAAGTCAGCTCCTCCACCAAATATGGGTCCGTATGAATTCATATTGTACAATGCTTTTCCATCATTATTATAAGGAAATTTTGTCGGTTGGTTTCCGTTTGTATTGGTCAATAGATAAAGAAATGATTCTGAAGCATCTACAAAATCTGAAGACGACTGCCAACTTTTTGAAGCATAGCCACCAAATAGACAGTTAGTTGTTGACTGAATAAGTGTCATTGTTGGTCCTTGATTATTGCAGAGACGATGAAATGAAGTTGCATCAAATCCATCTTTCGTAGCTTTATAAATCAGTTGCCAATATTGGTCGCATTTACCATAAAACTGGTTCAAGATTAATTTTTGTTCCTTGGTCATAAGAGTGTCACCCACAAACTTCTCGACTGATCTTGCCACATTCATTACTTCAACATTCTCTTTGTTTATATTATATAAATTATTCATACTATCTGTTACTTTGGTATTTCTGTCACCTTGAGATATTTATTTGCAAAGCTTTGAATTAATAATATATGAAATTTGTAGAGAAACACCTATTTATTTTCAAATGATAACAGCAAGTTAGATTATGAAAATAAAAAATATTTATATTAATACAATAGAATTTCTTCCTTATCTTTTTCGCCTAAGTCAATATGAAAAGGAGAATCGTATATATTGCAAGGGTGTTGTGCAATCCACCTGTATAATGAAAGTTCAAATTAAAAGGGTGTGGACGTGAATGTTGATGGCATAGATAAGGTACATCGTTACACCCACACCCACCCTCAA